ATTTTATACATATTTTATTACAAAAACAGGCTTACAGTGCCTGTCACCTTGACAACTAGGCACTGCATTTAAAGAGATTTAAACACAGTTAAAAAAAAAATCAGTCAAACACTTGGCAAAATAAATGGGCCTTACAATGTATATGAAAGATTGCTAAATGTGCGTCTTAATGGGCGGACAAGAAGAATGAATTCCTAAGGTGAGACCCTCAGTTAGGAAAGCCAAGCCAGTTTGTACTAATTTAGGAACAGCAATAGCTTCCAAACTGATCTTCATTTCTTAGGAATTCTAGATACAAATGGAGTGTTCTGATTTGCATAGAATGAAATAAATTAATTTTCATGTGTACACATGAATGGGTCTTGCTTTCAGCTCTACAAAAGCAAAAAAGACACTTCAGGTATTCCATTTCCTGAGAATTATTTTCCTTCTTAGGTTGTGAAGTCACTCCCCATCCGCTTCATCAACCCCATCTGATGTACACATTAATTGTCCCAAAAGGCACTCTTTCAAGTGATATACTGCTGTAGTACATTCACAAAAAAATAAACCTAGAAGTCTAATAGTCATGTCTTCATAACTGAAATAAATATATTCTCTGAACATAGTGAGACAGAGACAATCTCACTGGTATTAGCATAAAAAATTAGAAGCCAAATCATTCCAAAATTGAGTAATATAAGTTGGTATTAATATACATATACACAGTATACATAACACACTTATTTTTTATACATTTGAAATGATGAATACTACACAATGGAACAATCTGAAGAGAACCTATTAACCAGACTACAACTTTGGGGACCAATAAAGGATATAGATTTATAGGTTAAAATATAGGTTAACTAGAAGCTAACAATGCAACAGGGACAAGTGGATGGTTTGAAATCACACACTTCATATGTAATGTAATTGCATAAACTAAGGCATAGGAATTTATTTTCTGCTTTTCATTGCATAGTCTCTGGTTATAGTCAGGTTTCACGCCCCATGAAGCCTTCAAAATTCGTATCTGTCAGTCCTCTGTGTAATTGTTGTATTGCATTAACTGAATCTGGAGAATAAACAGAATTAAACTATCTTGTTCTCTAATCCAAAATGAAAAAGTTAGTATTGATACGTGTTTGGCATCAAAGCCAGGGCACAGATATTGGCTTCAAGAGTATGAGGAAATAAATGCCAGTGATTTCTTCATCACGTGGCAGTTAGAATAAATTAAAGCTATTATAATATTAAAACTAAACATCAAAGTTGTCTGATACATTATTGTGGTTTGTCCACACAATAGCTTATTAGGTAATTCTCCCATAGAAATCAATATCAACTACAGAACAAAGACACATTAATCAAAACAGTTGGGAAAAAATATCTGAAACAAAACCACAGTCACATCTGTCATTATGGCTTTTATACCAGTAAATGTAAATAAGAATGTTCACCTTTTCTCCCTCTGTATCTTTATAATATATACTACTACAGTATGTCCATAAAGGGATAACCCTGGGCAGAAAATGAAACACAACTATAGAGAAGCACCAATACAGTAGAGGATATCTAGCTTTTAATATATTATGTCTTCAAAATCACATAATTTGTTCACAGATCAGCACCAGCCACCCAAGAAGCAGTATCAACAGGCATTTTAGGAAAAAAAGCAGCATCCCTCTCAGCTGATTTTTATTACTGTTTGCTGTCTATTAACTTCAAAGATATATGGACTTTTGTTTTCCATATATAGTATAACCTCTTTGCAAGAGTCGGAGTTACATTTTGTTTGGAGTAAGCGATGTACTCTAGATTTCACTATCAATAAATAACGAACAATTGTTGCATACTTCTACTCTGATATTATCATACATGATCAACCCAAGGAGCCCACTTGTCACATCTCTGGCTCATTTTTCACTCTTTGTTCTCATCACACTTTGTACATCATTTAGATCAGATTTATTTGTAAAATTCCCATTGCACACATCTGACAACAGATGTTTGGAAATTCATCACATTTTGCTCTTATTTCATGGTCTCAACAATAAGTTTCAATGAACAATATGATGACCGATGGCCATATATTCTGACGAATCAGACAAACAGCAATGGAACTTTCTTGATTTTCTGCTTCGTATAATGATCATTTAATCAATGAACAGAATGAACTGCCTATTTGTTTCACAATTACATATTCTAATTTTTTTCTATGCCAAAGATATGTAAGTGATTAAATTTACCCTCCACTTTCCACCCTTTATCTCTCCCCACTTTATCTACTTCTTGTATGTAACTTTGAATCCACAGGTACACCAGGCAACTTATGCATCATCACCACCACGGCACTCACATACAGAAAACTGATTATTTTTAGTATAAAGTTTTATGGATGAATAATGAATTTGTGCTGTTAACATGCGGGACTGGATAAATATGCCTTTAAAAAGCTCTTAACTTTGACATAAACAAAGGGCCTGATCCTGCAACCTTCACTAACAAATATTCCCATTGAAACCAATAGTGCTAACATGAGTTAGAGTTTAGGTTATACTCCAATTTAGTTTAATTATGATCGGTTTCAGGAGCATTACTAAATACACTATGAAAAATCCATGATGTTGAATACAGAACTTTGCTGGAGGCATCTCTTAACTGTGGAAATGCTTGGCATCTAATGCTGTGAAGTGGTTATCATCCTCAAGTCTCACTGAATTCAATAAGAGTTTTGCCAGAATATGAAACTCAGAGCTGGCCAAAAATGATCTTTCAGTAAGTGAATGTATTAAAGGAAGCCCTAGTAAACTTGTTTCCATCAACCAACTATAAAAGATAAATTCCATAATCAATTATTATAAAACAGACAATCTATCTGGTAAAAGTCAATTATAGATCTATATTTAAGAAATTACTCAATCTAAAAATTAGTCTTACAAAGATTTTGTTATTAATACACACACACACACACACACACACACTACATGCTCAAAAAAGAAGTGTACAGTAATTTTATGCAGCCTCCATGTTAACTTTTAAAGTATATTTCAGAAATCAGTTTTCAGAAATAAGAAGACAAGTTGTATACCACTTTGCAAATAATGGCAACATTTAGGTTGTATTCTACAATAATACAAGAAATCTGAGGTTATTGTATCTTTATTGCATCTTTTCACTGGATTTGAGACAACTGAAGAATAAGAAATAATTCTGCTACAAATAATAAAGCCATACAAAATAAAATGTTTTAGATCCTATCAAAAGATGCTATTTTAAATATAATGTACGGAAAGAAAAGGAAAGATGGAACAGAACAGGTAAATTCTTATGTCTTAGTTATTCATCAACTATAAAAATAGTTTACCAACAATTCTAACTCTCTAGACCAAATTAAAATGGAAGTATACTTCTTTCCACACGCTATATAGACTAAATTACAGCACAGGATGGAAGAATCATTCTCTAATCTATTCAGAAAGAATTTGTTTTTTACTACAGTAAGTAATAGATACTGTAATATCTTTACTGATATTCTCCTTGCTTTTGAAGATGTTTATTTAAAATCTTCATCCTTTAAAAAATATCCCTGTGTTTTAAAGCTATTTGCCTTCTGGGCATAAGTATGTGATAAAGTAAACACCAGTTCTAAATTCTGGAAGTATTACTCTTTAATTGGGCGATAAAATTAAGAAAAATTATAAACGTTCTTGTCTTTTTATATAGTTTTATCCTTTTGTTTACACTCTTTAAATACAAAGCATTGAAAAAATGCAATCATGCTACTAATGTAAATTTGGAGACCTCTATTTATTGAGTATGCTGTAATCTATGGGAAGAAATTATAATAATCCACAGATTGTATCCTTTATATTAGGGACCCTAACTTAATAAGCAGTTAAACTATATATGTATATAATTGCAGTATACACAGTATGTGATAGTATCCCTCATGGTCCTTAAACATGCTAGTATGATACACTTCCTACTCTCAGAATACTGGAAATGAAATGATTCTCGCCTACTTAACTATTAAGAATGGGAGTCTAGAATAGAGTGCCTATACGGTGTGTAAAATGAAGCACATAGCATAATGAAACGAACCATTAACGATAGTTTGCTGAGGTTGCTTTGTCAGACACCGATCATTTAGAAGCTGTACAAATCGTTGTACTATTTGTCCTTTTAAAAAAAGGTTAATAGGCTGTGGCTATGAGAGCCCTTATTATGTAGCCAGTAGTTATCAGCACCACGTAATGCACTTAACTCTATCACCACCTCAATTAAAAGATTGTTTTCACCCTTTATTGCCTTGTGAAAACTAAATCACGAAGTCGCTGTAGGCGTTGCTTTATTCTTCTGACTAGACTAGCGTTTGAGGAAACCTTTCTATACACATTACATCCTGAATAGTACAGGGCATTAACATACATCTGAACTACTGCTCGTCTGTTTCAATGCTGCCTATAAGGCGCTTTGTGAATGGGAGCGAAATACAAAAGACTTTGCATTACCCAGGAAGGCAACTAGTACAGGGGAAGTAAAGAGGAAACCACAGCTAAAGCCTCTTTGAGGGATACTACTAGACTCTATTTACTACAGCTAACACCTAGGGAAAGTGTTATTATGTGCCATAGTGCATTATATTACCGAGGAGGCGTATTCCTTGAGTAAGAAACTTCCCGGGCCAGCAGCTGGATAGATCACACTGTGCCACCCGTTCTAGGAACTGTTGACTCTGCGATCTCCTCTCGCTAATGTGTACATGTCTGTCTGTATTTTCCACCCAAGGCACTAGATCACGCAGCTAGCGAGGGAACAGAAACGCCCGGAGATCAGGACGGGGGCAGGCACTAGCTGGGAGATTGCATTAGCCGCCAGCCCAGCAGAGAGTTTTCCGCGTGTACCGCGCCCAGCTGCTGGCCCGGCAGGGGCCCCGCTACAGGTTGTCCCCACTCCCGGGGACGGGCGGACAGACAGACAGACAGAGACGGGGGCAGGCAGACACACACACACACCTTGGCGCCGCAACCTTCTCTTCTTCAGCCCGAAGATACGGACCTTGGAGAAAATATCCACCAGGTTGCCATTGCAGAGCCCCCGGTTCTTACTGGGGCTGCTCCGCCTCCTGCTGGCCGAGGGCCGGTCCCAGTGCTGCTCCCTCGCTTGCCGCTTCTGGCGGATCAAGCCGCTGGCGATGGCCGCGGCCATGGCTGCTCCCGGCAGGCGGCTCCCGGCTCACTGGCCGGCCGGAGCGGAGACAGGGGCTGGGCGGGCGCTGGGGCTCAGCCGCGGCGGGGGCCCATCCCCGGGCGCCACGGACAAGCGAGACCCTCCTCCGGCTCTTCCAGCCGCAACTGCACCCTGGGGGCACCCGCGGCTCGGCGCGGTCACCGCATGGGCCCCCCCCCCGCGGGTGCCACCTGCCCGGGCTCCGGCGCCGGGCGCTCCGCTCGGCCGGGCGCCCCTCAGCAGCCGGCTCCCATTGCTGCCGCCGCGGCTACAGCCGCCGCCTCCAGGCTCCTGCCTGGTGCCTGCCAAGTGCTTCCGAAACCAGCATCTGGGGAGAGAGAGCGCGGCAATCGCAGCCGTGCCACCCCTCCGCCCTTCCCCCAGCAGAGCCGGGGGCTGGTGCAATGGGGTTTTTTTGGGTGGTGGTGGGCGGGGCGGGGGGGGGATTGCTAGTTTCTAACGGATCCCCCAGCAGCCGCCGCCGCCTCTGCTCCCAGCTGGGGTTCCCCGATTGCAATGCGCGGCTCGCTCGCCGCTCTCCACAAACTCGCCGCTCTGCTTGGAGGGCGAGGCGCTGCCCAGCCGGCCTAATCCCCGGCGCAACCAAAGCCCCAGGGGTGGCTGGATCCGTGTCTCTCTCGCGCGCGCGCCAGCCCCTTCCCCCCACGCCCAGTCCCAAGCCGGCTGGCGCGGGGAGCGGCGGCTCCTCCGCTTCGTCCAGCCAGCTCAAAGTTGCGGGGATCTCTCTTCCCTTCCGGAGGCAGGCGCGTCATTTTTCAACGGTGACACTAGGAGGGAGGGGGAGCCCGCGAAAGGGGAGGCGAAAGAACGTGGTATAAAAAGACCCCTTCGCCTCTCTGCCGGCTGCAGCGGCAGCACAGACACAGTGTGAACGCGATAATCCGGAGGGAAGCTAGCGAGCAGGGTGACAGCAAATAACGGCCACACACACACACAGTACCAAACCCAACTTCCCCTCGTGCCTCCAGCAGCCTGGGCCAAAGCCGGGAAAGTTGGGGGTGTAGGAGGAAAGGGAAGGAAGGAGAAGTCAGCGAGCGTCCAATGTAAACGCTCACCCTCGCCCTCCTCTATACTGGACGCAGGGCTGCTTTAGGTGAACCGTGAATCCCCAGCCCCGTAGGGAGCGGTGGAAAGAGAGAGGAGCTTTCTGCTCCGGTGGGTGCACACAGATCGAGGGCTCCCAAGCCACACCCGAGTGGGGACCCATCATGATTTCCTTTTTCTCTCGCTAGTTGGAGTTCGGAAGTGAAAGCCCAAATATTCCAGACTGCCCATCAGGCACGGCGTGGAAGAGGTTGCTAGGCAAGCCGATTCCCGTCGTAAAAAAACCACTCGGCGGGTGAATGATTTAGAGCTGGGTGGACGGAAACATGCCTACGTTTCTTAGGGAACCTTCCAACTAAAACCAACACACGCTCTTTGTCTCAGAGAGAAATAATACAACCAACATACTTTTAACCGAGAAGATAAACCAGCTAGTCTACAGGGCTTTATAACCACTGAGTGCTTCTTGTGCTGCGCCTACAAACACTTGTATGTGGGCGGCCGGTGGATGTATTGATCGCCCTCCTAATGGGCAGTTATTCTTATTTGTATAAACTGATGTGTTCTCTGTTGGGCACTGACAATATGTACCAGGTACCGAAGATCCAAGAAGTTTTCCCCAAGGAGTTTACAATCTGAAGTAACTAAACAAATAAGACGACACAATGGGTTTCACAGTCATTATTATCCTCTTTTCTATAAGCATGGATTTTGGACATCCCTGTCGGGTCTATTAACTTGTTGTTGGTCCATCTAACTCCTGTAGTGGTCAAACCTCAGAGGTACTGTACCGTGTACATAGTTAAATATATTTTATGCTCAGGTCTCCTTGTGTGTATCTCCACTGTATATACTTAAAAACTTGTTATTTTGCTAGTCCTCCTTTCAAATCGCTCTATTTCCCCTTCAGTTGCTATTCAACTCAAAAGACAGCTCTTTCCAATACCACGTTTTGAAGCTGAAACACTCCCTTGCAAAATATACCACTTCGCAATATAAAGCCTGACATGCTTAGTTATTTGAGCAGATAGTTCAGTTGCTCCAGTTTCGACCATTATTTCCCTAAATCCTTTAATCTACAAAGGACTATTTTCACATCGAGGGCAAAAGCTTATGGAAGCATCTCCCTTACACACATTTTATGTTAAAGCTAGAGCAAGGCGGAGGAGTACACGCTCAATTAGATCTGGATAATACGTTTTAATTCTATTTTATTTCACAGTGGCTCTAAACAGATTCAGCTAAAGCATTCAGATTGGATTCTCTGTCTGGCGGTTTCAACAGTGCAACAATTTCCATACAATAGCTACAATTACCCTAACTAATGCAGTCAGAGGAGTTTTTAATTTGATTTTATTGTGGTAATTTTGCCTTCAACTTTGTGTTTTCACGCTATATAACCGACGTTGCAAGACTACGTCCTTTCCTCAGATTCTTTGAAGTCTGGGGGTGGGGGGTTAGTCCACATTGTCTTCTTAGAATGGAACCACGCCATCCTGCGACAGGACAATGAAACCAGACTAAGTGCTAAACTTCAACATTTGAAAAGTGGGGCGTTTCCCTTGCTGTTGGAAGTGCCAGGACCAAAAAAACAAAACAAAAAAAAGCCTCCCTCAAGAAAAGGATCGTGGTTGTTTATGTAAGTAGGGAAAACAGATGCTCTAGACGACGGAAAAAAGCAAGGACCCCCGACCCCCCACTACCATCTACCTTTAATTGCCACCGCGTTGCCTCGTGATTTAGCCAGACCTATTGCCTTAACAACTGCAATTCTGAGTGCATAGGATCCATATTCCCTTCACTGGAAGGACCTTTCTAAAACACTACATAATCGACAATTACAGCTCATTTTATCGACTCTCTTTCTCTTCACCAAAACTTGTTAAGATAAATTAAATTTGTCACTCTAAATCTGGGATATTTTGCTGTGGGGTGGGAAAAGGGAAAGTGTGTTTCCTACTCCAGAGATCAGACATAAAAAGCTCTGTGCTTGCATCTCAGAAATGCAGGGTAGTTGTTTACAGCTTTAGGTACACCAAAGAAAACTCAAGGGAGCCCTCTGCTGTCTTAACCTGTGATAAAATGTGTGCAATTCTAGTCAAGAGTGAAGGTTTTGCTAACAGATGGATTTTGGAAGTATAGACACATTGGTCGTCTTAAGGTCTACTAATTACACTGTGTTTAGGAGAAAACTTTAATTTTTGCTGTATTAAAAAAACCCTGTTTTCTTTCTGATTAAGAAAAGTCTGGTTATCTAAACACACCAAGAAGGTGGGCAGTGCTAGATTTTCAATATTTCCTGTTTTCCCATCTATTCATTTCTAACTCCCAACCTACTGGTTTTCTAGGAACAGTTCTCAAATGTAAAAAAAAAAAAAATCAAAATCTGTAAATTATGTGTTTTGTTATGAGTGTTGTAAATTCCCACTCATTGTTTAAAATCTAGGTAAAAGGCTTCCTATATAATAGACTTAAAGTGCCTATAAATAGTGTCTCAAAACAAATTCATTTTGGGCTAGATGCATCTGGCTATGTAATAAAACAATGTCATACAGTTAACCATGTGAATTATTTCGAAGATTAACCTAATTCTAAAGTGTCCCCTTTAAGTGAGGAAACTGCTATTGGGTAAAGTAACAAACATATGCTAATTAATATTTTTTCTCTCCACATATTAACAAAACACTTTTATATCATGGGTTTCTTGTTTGATGATGTAGATTCCATATTGCCTTTGTACTCTAGCTTGAGGTTACCTAAAGCCTAAAGCCATTTTTTTTTAATTACAATGTACAAGCTTTAACGGCTACAATCTTTTCACCAGATGTTGGTATCCTTTCATATTGACATTACACTAGAAGGGATTACAGGCAGCAGTTCAGGTCTTTGTAAAAGCACACAGAGAATACACAGTTATTACTTTTATAGATCAATTCAATAAAGGCATCTGAGGAAAAGTTAGCTGTACAAAAGAGTGCTAGTAACCAGTGTTTCCAAAGGGAGAAACACCAAATTACAGATTGATAATAGCAGATGGTTTGGTTTCATGAGATCTAGTCATTTTTTTATTCAGTTTGCTTGCCAACAAAATGTACACTGAATGGTTTCTTGTCTTATTAAATAAACTGGAATCTGAAGTTGTAAACTATTTATAAATCCACAATAATAATTATTTCAGGATTCGGAATCTAGATATGAATAGAAATTCTCCTAGACTATTAGGAGTTGAAGGTCATTTTATATATCATTGCAAAGACAATTTCTTCCAGATTTGCAATATGGTCCTCAGATTTAGCTTATGCCTCACTCACAATGTAAACAAATACATTATGCAATTAATATTGCTTTTTAAAAAATAAATTAACATTTTAACTTTTATAGCCAGATTCTACCAAGGTCACTTGCATTGAGTAATTCCATACCCCTCAAGTAGAAAGGAACTACTCCTGGAGTAAGGTGTTATTACTCAGTGTGAGTAAATGTGTCAGAATCTGGTCCATAGTAAGAAGTTATTGCACATCTCGGAGAAGATACCTTTGTAATGACATATGATCTCCCTGTCATCTCCCAATTCTGATGGATATGACCAAACTCAGTGGATCGGATTTAACTCAGGGTTCCATTGTCATGTGCCAGTCTCACCCCAGAGGCAGACAATTTGCCCTCAAACAGTGTCTCTGCTATGGGCTTCAACCACCTCTTCCAATGGGTTTCTATATAGCTGCCCACTGCAATTATATCAGCCCTTTCCTGATAAAAACCCTGGGGGGGTGGGGGGGAGTAAGCAGTAGTAATCCAACTGAATTTGGATCCCTAGGGCCTGTCCCCTTTAGGAATCAAGCTGGAGCAGGGAGATATAATTTACACATGTCCAAAACATGCTTAAGAGAATCTGGCCCAATGCTTGTACTCTGCAGGGTTTTATGCATACCCCCCAAAAGGTTTATCAACATTAAAAAAGTAATATTTCATATGAATATACCTGTACGAACATACGAAGCTGAAGATTAGAAATCCCTTTGCAGACAGCTTATGTGCACCCTGTGGTGAGAATAAAAATAAAAATCTGGTTGTGCAATAAGGTTTAAATACATTTGAAATTACTTGTGTTGCAGGCATTCATGACTGCTCACCTGGAAATCAGTCTCCTTATGAGTTACTGTTATTTATCAGAAGATGATGATTTATGCTGCTGAGCATTTTAATTCTATATTTTGTTTGTGTACTATGACAGAAGAATGAAAGTATCAGAGATAAGAAACAAATTATTTTCTTCATTCAGACATTTCCAGTGTAACACAGAAAGTGAAAATGACAATTTAAAAACCTAAATTCACCAACACAAAGATCAGTGGATTAGAATCAAATTTAATAAGTGCAGACACTTCAGCATGTATAACTACACATTATTCACATTCCATCTATGTTGAAGACACCCACAATACAATCAAGGAGCCAAATTCATACTTGTTGAACTCCACTGACTTTAATGGAATTACCTCATGGATGAGTTTGGTCCAAGATGTTCGGATGTGCAGTATGAACACCAAACCCTGCTACACATTACTGTTTACACCGTAAAGGAAATGTTAAAAGAAATGTCTGACATTTTAATTAGTTTTATATATTTATATTTTTTCAAAATTAATATAATTCATAATTGCTATCAATGAG